GGTGTGGTGGGTACTCCTACTAGTCGTTCCTCGAGGTGTTCCTCGTCTACCGGGGGCCCGGTAGTCGGGTTGCGGGAGAGCATGTCCGGCGCTTCGTTCTGTACGCCGGGCACATGCGTGGTTTTGTAATCCAGGTTGGCCAGTTGTAGTGCCCACCTGGTTAATTTTGAGTTTGTGTTTTTGGCTCGGTGGAGCCATGTGAGTGCTGAGTTGTCTGAGTGTAGGTCAAACCGGCGTGCCTCCAGGTATGGCCTAAACTCATCGGTTGCCCAGATTATCGCGGGGCACTCGCGTTCTATCGCGGCGTACCTTGTTTGTGTATCACTAAACTTTTTGCCTGCGTAGGCGATTATCCGCCTTTCGTCCGGGCTGTCACCCCGTTGGAAAAGGCCGGCACCCGCTCCTATCTCGCTAGCATGGGTTATTGTTAGTTTGTCAACATCTAGTGCTGGGCTGGGGTTGGGTATCCGACCTTTCCAGCACGCTGTTGTTCTCCTATTCGAACCTAAATGAATAGTGCTCGTTGTGTAGTCCCAGGTGACTTCGTTTTGCACGAGACAGTCGTGACCTAGGAGCATGTCGCAGTATAAATTGTCCAGAATGGCTGCGTTGAAGGTTACCGTGAGGTCTCCGATTCTGGCTACGAATGTGGAGGTACCACTTGTCATGGTAGTGTGTCCATCCGCCATTCGTACCTGAGTTGGTTGTCCGTGGTGGGGTGTGCCAAAAAAAAAAATTGTCGGGGCATACTCGTGTAGCGTTATTCGACGTTGGTGGTGATGTATAGCTGGATAACTGGTTCTTAACCGCGATATCGGTGTTCTGGGGAGCGGTTTGCACCGCCATTACCAGAGCATCCGTTTCGGTTACCTCTGTGCTATGTGTGTGTACTGTATGTGTACCTGTTAATTTCGTAGTAGGGGTCGTTGATGCGGACCTTTGGGGTGCCGCGTGGTGTGGTGATGGTGACCTGCTACTTAACGAAATTGTTGATGTTTGGACGGGTGATATATGTGAGGACGCCGAGTTTATCGATGCGCGTTTGATGGTTATATCCCCGTCTGTAATGCCGAACGTTGTGTGTGGTGGCGTGGTGGTGTGTGTGTGTGTGTGTGGTGGTGTGTGTGTGTGTGGTGGTGTGTGTGTGTGTGGTGGAGGCGGCGGCGTGGACAGGTGTCCGCCGACTCATTTCCCGTTTCCCGAACGCGGTGTGTTCCCGGGGCAGTCACTGTTCCAGTGAGGACCTCCGCAGTATCTGCACGGGTTGGGCGGTTGCGGTTTGCCTGCCGTACCGTCCCGTGTTCGCGGTTGGTGCGTTGGTTGTGGTGGGTGGGTTTGGGGAAATTTTTTTTTTTTTCCCGCCGGTTTCGGCTGTGGTTGTGTCCGTTAAACCGCGCTGTCCGCATTCGTAGCGCAATTCCGCGGCGGTCAATTCATTAATATATTTTCCCGGCATGACTTCCGGTTGGTTTCCCGGTGTTGTTGACGAGGAGATATAAAATGTGGCTGTTGTCGTTGGAACGGGTATCGCGTTCCTTCGATCAGCTGTGTTGCCCGCTTATCGGTGTTTATTTGCGTACAGAATGTAGGTCAGTGGGTTGTTATTGTTATTGTTGCGCTTGCCGGGCGATCACAGTAACCGGTCTTCGCAGAGTGTTTTCGCGGATGCGCGTGTGTGCGTTATCCGGTGCACTACTGCGATTAGGGAAGGCGGCGGCTGTCGCTTTAAGCGGCGGCAGTCCGATTACGTGGTATTTTTGTCCCGGGTCATCGCGTGTTGACGTAGGCGAGTGGCGGTGCTGGGCGGTGGTGGTTAGACCCTCTCGCGCTCTTGCGTTCCTGCCTAATGCCTACCTACGTCGTGTGTGTTTGGAGCGTCGCGCGCGGTGCGGTCGGTGCGTCCGTAAGTCGGGCGGCGCGGCCGGTCGTTACGTCCTTTATGGTTATATAATATATTACGTAACGCCGGTTTTTCCGTTAACGCCTGAAAACCACGTTTTTGTCGGATCGCGTCCGGGACTTTTTCCAATCGCGCAACGGGGGGTATATGTGGGTGGTAGTGAGTGGTAAGATAGTTTTCACTTACCGGTGATTCCTGTTCGGGGAGCCAGTTGACGCGGACTTATGTTGAGCCGCGTGGTGTGGTGAGGTGATGGTGGTGACCGACGGAGACAGTCGGGTCGGAACAACAAACGGGATAATAGAAAAAGGATTATTAAAACACAACGAACAAACGAACGACGCAATGAGGTGTCACTTAAGTATTTATTGTTACAAAACACAAAAGATTATTCAGTTGGGAACCGGTAGCGAAATACACGGAACGTGGGTGTGGGTTCGGGTGTGTACCGGACGGTGTCGGGAAGACGAGAGAGCGCGCCTTGACAATCCGGTTCGCTGGACGGCCGGCCGACGGTTCCAGGCGCGCGTGTCGCGCGCCGGCGTCGTCCGTCGTCGATTGGCGGTTTGATTGAGAAGCCGCGGCGCGGCTTCCGCGCAAAGGCTGTTTGAATTCAAACAGATTTTGCGCGGGACCGCGTCAAGTATAATACTCCCTTCCCTCAAGTGAACCTATTGAAAGGGTGTTTAGTATAGGAGCCTGTATTTTAACAAAAAAAAGAGGGAAGATGAGTGATTCTAATTTTGAAAAAACCATGTTATTGAAAAGTAATTTTAAAATTATCTAAATTCTAAATAATAACAGATTTTAATTTTTTTTTTTTTCAAATAAAATTTTTATTGAATATTGCGAAACAAATTTTAATAAAAATATAAAGATTATTTCATTATTACAGTTAGTTTTTTTTTCTGAATAGAAATTTAATTTTTATTCATATTTGTATAAATGTATAATATTTGATTTATACGAATGTTAAATTATATTAACCATAAATATATAATTATGCTAAATTATATATTATTATATTGATAAATTATAAGTAGGTATATATTAGGTATAAATATATTATGATACTACATTATATATTGATAATACCTAATATGAGCAGTAGGTATGTACTACATTGTTAGCCTAATTTGTAAGTTATTTCATGTTTATTAATAAACATGTTTGGAAACAGCTACTATAAGGTGTAAAATTTAAAAAAATACTTGTATTTGTATTCAAATACTTTGTGAGTATTCGTAAAATACATTTTTATGTAAGTATTTTAAAACTTTTTCAAGAGTATTTTTTACAAGACTGATAATATTATATTATTTATATTCATACATTTTTAATATAGTATAGGATTTCATAAAATATACACTAATTCTTAATTTATATTAATATATTATTTATTGTTTTACTGTTTTATTAGGAAGACTTATTTGTGACAAAAAAAAAAATACCCAATTTATTATAAATAAATTGTCTTCAATGTCAAATATTGAAAAAAGATACTTCACAGTTTGTCAGTCAACTTGCAAAGATAAGTGTACACATTTTATTATATTATTTTATATTATTTTTTTTTTCATGATTTATTGTGTATAATGTTGGTAAGTTTAGATTTTATAAAGTAATATTACTATACAATTTTTTTCTACTAAATTTACATGTTCCATAGGTATGTGAAGAATGTGGAAAATATTTTTCCAAACCTTATAATTTAAAGCGTCATCAAACAACTTCATCGGTTTTCAGTCTCCAAAATGATATAAATAATTGTGTAAGTACAAAGTAATTTTATAACTCTAAATTAGGAACTTTTAAGTTATAGTTTTAATTTTGTTGGCATGCTCTAAATGTAATAAGACAATCAATCGTAAAGATACCTTAGAACGCCATTTCAAAATTCAACACACGTCTGAACATGAATCTAATGTAAGTGTTGATGCTCATATCCATGTTGAAAACAATCTGCGTAAAGACAGTAATGTAAATATAAAAATAATTTAAATTTAACTAGAGAGATATAAATGTATACAAGATTATTATTTTATAAAATAGATATGCAAATTGTGTCATAAAAAGTTTGTTAGTCTTGAGGGACTAAAATGCCATCAAAAAAGTGTATATCCACAATGCATTCAAGAAGGAAAACAATTTCTCCGTGTCCAAGAATATTTCGTAAGTCAATATGCTGTTATATAAATATGTTTTTATTATTATTTATTTCTAATAAATAATATGAATGTCATTATCGCAATAAAAAATTCATACGGAAAGATACCTTAAGAAGTCATATTAAATGTTTTTGTAAGTATAATTATTACAATTAACATGGGTTTTTCATAACTTAATTGTAGGTTAAAAATTTTAAATGCCTCATGTGTGAACAAAATGTTGACACAAGAAAACGCACCAATGAACACTACCAAAGAGACCATAGAATTGTCTTCCTATATGAACAATTACAGTTCCAAAACTTTAAAGAGTTCGAAAAATGGAAAATTTATGTGGAACAAAAATCGTACTTTCAGTTTTCTAAAGCCGTGTGGTGGAAAACCAAAACATGTACTGTAACCAAATATATATTTCATCATTCAGGAGAAAAAATATTAAAAACCGTGACAAAAATAATCCCAAAACTGATAGGTTCAAAAAATTGAATGGTATTTGTCCCACACTTCTAACGCTAAGGGAATTCAATTCTAGTGGTTTATGTTCAGTTATGTATCAAAAAACACACCTGGGACATGAATTTGATAAAAGAGAGCTACCTCACAAAAGTTTAAATGCCAACGAGAAATTAGCCATTGCCAATAAGTTGTCGCTAGATGTACCATTAAATGTTTTGTTAGGACAATATGAATCAACACAGCGAAATGGTGAAGATATATGCAGTCATATTAATTTGTTGAATTACCAAGATATAGCAAATATTTCTAAACAATATAATCTTAATGAACCTTTTCCAGCACTATACAAAGAAGATTCGAAAAATATAGCCAGTTTTACTATAAAAAATAATAATTCAATCCTGTTTTACAAAGCTGAATGAGTCTTAGATGAGAAGTATCCCACACTAAAGATCAATGATTTTGCATTAGGGTACATGGACCGTAATCAAGAGCATACTTTGAAGCGTTATGAACACAAAACAATTTGTTTTGATGGCACTCATGGTACAAATCCTAACGACTTCATTTTACATACAATGCTAGTAACAGATGTTGATTGTGAAGGCTATCCAGTTGCATTCTTATTATCTAATAGAAATGATGAAGTAGTTTTTAGTGTTCTACTTGGACAAATAAAAGTTCAAGTTGGCAATGTGTTACCGAAAACCATAATGTCGGATATAAAGATGTCTTATTTTAATGGCTGGGTTAAAATTATGGGTCCTATGAACGAAAAACTTTTTTGTATATGGCATGTGCATGAAGCATAGCGAAAAAACTTATCGAAAATAAATAATAAAGAAAAACGAATAGCTGTTCGTAACTTCCCTTATGATTTATCAACACAGTTGAATGTAGAGGAATTTAAAACAAAACTACATACATTCATTTCAAATAATGATGAAGACTTACAAAAGTTCTTGGATTATTTTTTTCAATATTATGGACGAAATCCTCAATATTGGGCTTACTGTTACAGGCAGTAAGCTGGTTGTAATACCAACATGAATTTGGAGAGTTTTCACAGAGTATTAAAGGAAAAAATTATTTGCAGGTTAAAAGTAAAAAGTGTATACAACTGTTTGTGTTATTTGGAAAAATATTTAACCATGAAGGAAAATAACATGAAAAAAAAACAAATACGTACTAAACGTACGAATAAATTAAAAGTTCTTCGTATTAACCATAAAAAAGTCGAAACTGAACCAAAATATAATATCAAACCTTTCATTTTCAATTCCTGGCACATCAAGTCATTTACAGATGACAAAATATATATTGTGGCTAAAAGTGAAATGAAAGAGTGTGCCATGTACTCAGATGAGTTTACTTGCTCCCTTCCATGTACAATATGTAAAACTTGTTTCCACGATTTCATTTGTAGCTGTCATGATCACTGTATTCGAAATAACATGTGCAAACACATTCATGCAGTCGGTATGTACAATCTAAGCTCTGAACATAACATACATTTGGAGAAGGATAAAGGTAAAAATAATTTAGAGATGGCACAAGACAAAGAGCCTACAGTCAATCACAAAAATCAAGATGAACTCTTGGATATCCATACTCGTCAAGATGATCAGGATGTTGGTAACAAAAAACACGTGCCCATCACTCTTAAAAGTTTCATTAGGGAATTCTAAAAGGTATTGAGCTACTTTTGCTTTTTTTGTTGAAGGAATTTTGGGCATATTTTTATCAGTGTTATACCAGAAATTCGTTGGTCCATACCGGTATACATTTCCTCTTAAAATGAATACCGGTATAAAGTATAGAAATTTGTTTGCGATACCGGTTTAAAATATTTGTTATAGTGGTATCATTTTTTTGACCCACCTCACAAGCTGGGTCAAAACAGTTATCTGTTATCAGTTTTAACTAATCAAGTGATAACTAAAATTAAATATGGAGGGGATATTATTAATATTTATTATTTTGTACCTAAAAATTTCTCGTTACACCGATTTGGTATACAGGTATAAACTAAAAGATACCGGTGTTATTATTTTTGTGTACCGAAATAAATGAACGAATTTCTAGATACACGCACAGGCACAATTAAACAAATATAAACTCACTTACAACTTAAAAAAACACTTACGAACGGGGAACGAATAAATATAGGTACACGCACAACAGCACAACAGCAGACTGAATAATGCTAACACTAACCGATATGGTGACTTCAAATTTACGACGCGCGACGTCGATAAAGTCGATAGACGTCGGTAAATGGTTATTTTTAACATTTCTCGAAATTTAATAAGTACATCAAAAGTAGTAATCAATATTTACGACGTCGATAAAGTCGATAGATGGTTCATTTTAACATTTCTGGAAATTTAATAAGTTCCTACATTTATAAAATATGAAATATTTGCAAAATATGTACTTATTAATAAAATATTTAGAAATATGTATTTACAACCAAATATGTGAAAATATGTAACATAAAAAATTTTCATTTTATTCAGGGTGTTATGAAACATGCTTATTTTTTAATCAGGACAAAGATATCTGCATTCAATAAAAATATGTATTTACATAAAAATCCGCGCCCTAGTCATTAGTAATCATATTCCATTACACATTATTAGGCACTTCAGACTGAATCGTAACTTCGCAAAACATAAGACAAATTTTGGAATGCTCTATGAGGGAAAAAATGTGTATTCCTACTACCAGCAAAATGGATGTTTGACTTTTGCTATGAGAACTACACTGGTTCGATTGGTAATTGATTCTGAAGTCTAAAAAGTCCTGATGAAAAGTTATCAATTAATACTATACATAAGCTAGCTTTAAGTATAGTTGAATTTTTCCCCCATGAATCTGTTCATATATATTTTATACCGTACAAAAAAGAACAACAACAGGATGCTTTATAGTTTATATTCCATATTTTAATTATTTTTCACAGCGGTTCTTCATCGTTTTTTTTTTTTTTTTATTAACGTACTTATTGTTTCAAAAAACTAATTAAACCTAATTTAAACATAAATTAACATGAATAAGCAAAAGAAAATTAAAATCATTTGCTTATTGGAAGCACAAGGTGTTTTAAATGAAGATATAGGTCTCCAATAAACAGACGATATTGGGTGCATCCTTTAAATCTACAACATGAAACACAATTTCAATATTTTTATTCGAACATACGGCGGCAATACCCTGAAAAGTTTTTCGAATATTTTCGTATGAGTATAAAAACTTTTGACGAATTATTGGGACAAATACGTGAAAGTATTATAAAGAAAATGACTGTACTCAGAATGCCTATCTGTGTAGAAGAAAGGTTACCAGTTACTTTGAGGTAAGTACCTACCTATTTATTAAACAGTTTACCTATTTATAAGAGTATTCAATTTATATAGGTATTTATAGTATACACCAGTGGCGCAACTAGAGTCCAAATCTTGGGGGTGCTACAAAAGGTAAACCGTTATATAGCCGTGGGGGGCTCTGCCCCCCACACCCCCCCATTACACCTTTAAAATATTTTATTTTGACTATTATTATTAGGTATATTCAAATACTAAAAAATTTAAAATTTTTAACACATTTTATTTTTATTTATTGTATTTTATGTTTTTAAAGTATTAAAGTGTTAAACATAATCTTCTGTCAAACTTAGCAAATGTGTTTAGTATTTCTTCGGGAACAATTTTGTTTGCAAGATCTCTCTCAATATTAATTACGCTTAAGTTGGTAAAACGCTGTTGTACCATGCTGGTTCTCATCCAATTTTTTAACCGCCTCATGGAGGAAAAACTTCGCTCACATGTTGCAGAACTGACCGGGATCGTTAATGCAACCTGCATTAACTTATACAAGTTAGGAAATACTTCTTGATTTACTATTTTTTTTATGCCATCTGTACTGTTTTTTAAGCAGTTTTTTCCTACAAGCATTTCTGCTTTCAAGCATTCCGTGTTTGAATTTATTATATCCTGAAATTATAGAATATTATAGAATTTTTCTATTGGTATTGTTAGGTACTAAATAACTTATTTAATATGCACCTTATAATGCTGGATAAAATATTGACTTTTTTCAAAATCCATGGCCATAAAACTGTCAATAGCTTTAGCCATCTGAAGATTTTCAGTTGAAAATCTAAACTTTAGATTATTGATAATTGTATCAATAATTGGATAATAAACTGTACGCCTCCAATAAGCTTCTGACACATCTTGATCTTGTTCATCAAAATTAGCACTAGTAGTGGTTTCCAAATGGAAATTTATCAAATTAGTCGGCTGAGTTCTTTTCCGTTTTGTTACTTAAATTTTTTTTTTTTAATAATTAGCTTTAAATAAATTTTTATAGTAACTACAACAAAGAATCAAACTTACCAGGATGAGAGACTTCTATTGATATGTCATTTGTTTCACAAAATTGTATAATTTTTAACCATAATTCTGAGAATGACTTATCCGTTCTCATGTTATTAAATGACTCAATAACACTATTAATAATCATTTCGGCCTTCCCTAATGTAGCCGTCTTTGATTGTAGAGTTGTACTTAAGATGTTTATAACTCCTAAAACATCTCTTAAAACCATAACTAAAATTACAAATTGGCATTTTGTTATTTGACTAATGATTCCTAAAAATAAAATATAACTTTTTTGAGTACTCAATAATATTTTATTTTTCATTATTTATTATATTACCTATAGCTTCAGCTACATCTTTATCAGCTTCTTCTTCAATTTCATTTTTTAAAAATTTTAAAACTGCTGAATAATTGTTTATCATTGAATTGCAATTTCGATATCGACAAACCCATCGTGTATCACAAACTCTTATTACATTGCCTTTCTTTAATCCTAATTCAGTCTGAATTTCAAGTAATTTTGAGTTGTTACTTGGTCGAGAAAAATGCACATAGAGGGACTCCAAAATATTAAAAACATTTCGAGCAATCTAATAAACAAAGTATATAAATTATATAATATAATAATATATTCTAATAAAAAAAATAAACTTTTAGTATAGTATTATGTGTTAATGTTCTACAAATAGTTAATTAAAGCATATTCTACCTTAATTCCTTTGCACATATCCAGAACCACTAAATTTAACCTGTGAGACATACAATGAGTATATATGGCAGAAGGAAAATATTGTTTTATTTTGGCTTGAACACCATTGAGACACCCCGACATTACGCTTGCACCATCAAAAGATTGTGCAACAATTTTTAATGATTTCATGTCAAAGTGTAATTTTTCAAAGCATTGAAAAAGGGCCGAGACAATGTGGTTTGCATCTTGCCCATCTGAGACATCCACAAACTCTAAAAACCTTTCTTCTATGTCTAAACCATTAACGAATCGAACACATATCGAAAGTTGTTCTTGTTTATGAGATCTATAAAAAATTATTCTTATATTAAACAAAAACCTTTTTTTTATTTAATTATATAATATACCCTACCTTGCTTCATCCACCATTATTGCAAAAACTCCAGTACTTATTATTTTTCTAATGATAGCCAATCTTATATTATCTGCACTTATTTGCAATATACTTTCTTGTATTTTCCAACTAGTGAAGTTGATTTTCTTTTCATGATACTCTTTGAAGTCCACTACACATTTAGAGAACACATTGCAAAGTTCCAAAAAATTACCTTATGAATATTGAAATTATGTTTTATTAGTTATATTATTTATTGTTAATAATTTATATATTATAGTATAAATTTAGTACCTTGGTTGCATGAATCAGAATCTTCACGGTGCCCCCTAAACGAAACACCTTGTTTTGCAAGATACAAAACTATTTCGATCAAATTTAAAATATACTTGCGATTTTTAATAACTATTTCACTTTGAGCACTTAAGATTTGAGATTTAACACTACCCGTTTTTTTACTTGATTTATAAGCTTCCATTTTTGATACATTTGTTAAATGATTTTGGGACGTTTTGTGCTTATTTAATTTATCAACAAACTAGATTATATGGAAAATGTATAAATATAATGATTAGTTTAAATACCTGATGCCTTATTAATTATTAATATTATATTCGAAAATAATAAAAACTTGCTTTTTGCCAATTACTAAGTCCAGTCTTTGTCCATGCTGGTTCAACATCACCCGTACCAAATATGCGACAGACATAACAAAAAGCAGCATCTAATTTAGTGCTATACTCTAGCCATGCACATTCAATAAACCATTGTTTATTAAATGATCTATATTGCTTCCCAAACTTTGTTTTTGGATAAGCCTAAAATCATTTAAGCATATGCAAAGCAGTAAGCACTAAGCAGTTACCTATACTAATGTAAAATAAAACTAAGATATTAGGTACTTACTGCCAATATAGGGCGGTATGGTCCATTTTCTATATCTCCTAATCCTAAATTCAAAATTTGAGAGCTATATACATTTTCATTGTCAATGTTAACGTAGGTAACATTTTGATCTTGTTCACACAAACTACGTGACGTGCTTGGACCGGGATCATCAACGGTTTCACTGTCTGAATGGTCTGACTTACTTTGAATACTTTTTTTTTTGAAAATGCTGAACATTATGAATATCGAATAACAAATTTAATAACTGCACTAAATGAAATAACGAACACTTTCACGCGCTTGAGACCAGTCCTGTATGGCTGTATATAC